ATAAGCCCAAGGCAGGTCTGCTTTCGGACAAACGCCATGATGGACAAGGGGGGGAAGACACGGCACACATTTCCAGGGACACACGGCACAGACAGAGAGACAACTTACTTTTCACACTACTTAGCTCCAAAGCACGAGCGCAGAAACAAAAGATGGATTAGCAAGCAGAGATTTATAACCCGTGAACTTTACTACATGCATGACATCTCTGTGCCATGGAACCCCCCCGAAAAAAAGAAAAAACAGCCATTGTTAAAAGGTCCGGTATCAAATGCAAATCTCAATTAGGGGCACAGGCAGACTCTGTAAAATAATGTTACCATGCAAGACACCTAGCGGTCTATTGGTAAAAAAAAATAACGTATTCGTCCGTGTGTTCTGTGCGAGTCAACCAGCTGTTGCGGGGACGGGGCAAACATGCTCTTAGTGTAATTTCGCTTCTGGCCGAATGTTCTTCAATAGGTACATTAAGGCCCGGTTCACACCTGTGCGTGTTGTAGCGCGTTTGAACGCTCTGCAAAACGCTCAAACACCGAAATCCCATTACTTCCTATGGGTATGGTTCACACCTGGGCGTATTACAGGCCGTATGAACGCGCTACAAAACGGCCTACGCCCAAAGAAGTACAGGAGCGTTTTTGTTGCGCGTTTCCATTGGGATGCAACCAAGTAGCCCTTGGAAACGTGCGTTTGTCGCACGTTTTTTTACCGCAAACGGTACAAACGCGAATATTCGATACGCCTAGGCCCTGGTTCACACCTGTACGTTTTGTAGCGCGTTCAACGCTCTATGAACGCTCTACAAAACGCTCAAACGTGAAAATCCCATTGTTTATTATGGGCCTGGTTCACACCTTTTGTAACAACATACAGAAGAATGGGGGTTTTTTTTAGAGGTATAACACCAACACTCTGGATCTTTTTGACTTGGAAGTGACAGCACAGGTGACCCTCCACAAGCTGTTCAATCCTGAAGCACCCTCTCTTGTGGCCCCAGGGCCCCCAAATTGACCTCTGGATGAAGTGGTTACGTTGGGATTTCGATCCCTGTCCACACTCGATCTGGGGAACCCTGTTCGCATCCGGGAATCCCATTGGGTGATAGATCCATGTTCCCCTGAGGAAGCAGTATCCGAAACGCGTACGGACTGGATACATGGATTTCCCAACTGAATACGTATGACCAACAAGATGAATTGGAGCTAGGATGCAATTGGATTTTAATCTTGCTTAAGATGTTATTGATTTAGATTGTACCCAAATGAAATGTATACATGTTTTTACACTGAATATATGTAGAATAAATATCTTTTATACCAATTAAATCAAGTGTTGGTGTTATACCTCTCAAAAAAAAAACCATTCTTCTGTATGTTGTTACAAATGGCTATAACCTAAAGGGGGAGAGGTTACACCCGGAGACCACTGAGGCAACAATTCACTATTGTATTTCTAAAATGGTTCACACCTTGCTGTATTTCAGCCCGTCTGAACGCGCTACAAAACAGCCTACGCCTGAAAAGGTACATGAGCTTCTTTGCGGCGTTTTTGTCTTGCGTTTCTATTGGGATACAGCCAAGTAGCCCTCGGAAACGCGCGTTTGTCGTGCGTTTAAAAGCGCGCGTGACGAAACGCGCATATTCGATACGCCTAGGTGTGAACAGAGCCTAGGTGTGAACAGAGCCTAGGTGTGAACAGAGCCTCATAAGGAATAGAGTGAATGGGGACAATACCTCATTATGGCCACTGGATGGCGCTGAGGAGCATAGGAAATCAATACGTCAGACAAAATACAATGTTACGATTCTAGAGACTACTGGAGGGAATGAGCACATAATGGGAATCACTGATAGCATAGGGATAGCAATGGTTACATTTATATGCTCATTTCCACTAGTGGTCTCTAGCATTGAAACATTTCTATCTCCTTACTAAAGTGTACTTATTTCCTTTGACCCTTGGCTCCATATAGTGGTCATAATGTGGTATTTTCTCCCATACACCTCTGCTAATGAGCATACAAATAAAACAAATGATTCTACGGGGATAGCAAGGGTTATATTTATATACTCATTTTCCCCATTGGTCTCACAACTGTATCTAGTTACTAATGTGTATTTATTTCCTATAATCTTTAGTGCCATCTCATGGCCATAATGCACTATATGCCCTTTTCACTCTCTCCTTCTGCTAATGAGCATATGTGTGTGTATGTATATAATTAATGTGTGTGTGTATAAAATATAATAAATATATGTATCAGTGACGTGCGGTACCTCTTGCTCCGTGTGAGGCATTGCCCAGCCCCGCCCCCGTCGGCCGAAGCCCCTCCTCCAACCTGTCCCCAAGCTAGTGTAAAGGAAGAAGGGAGGAGCCTCCCTGTCCCTCACTTGCTCCTCACTGCTGAGGCGCTCCGTCCATGACAGGTTACACAGCGGGGAGGATTTCCATGCTGTGTAACCCGTTAGATCGTTGCCGATCTGAAATGGAGAAAAAGCTGTCAGCTTCAGAAATGAAGCTGATAGCTTTTTTTTCCTCCATAATTCTAGGTGAGGCTGTGCCCCCACCTGCCTCCCCTGATAATATAATATATATATATACATATAT